TATGCATTGTGTTTACCAGTTTAAGAAATTTCACCTTCTGAGAGCATGACTGGATCTCAGCATTATTGGTCAAGCACTGTCTTTTCAGATTTCTACATGATCTGCTTATCTATGAATAACTTTCAGTCACAGCCATATTTTGTTCTAGTTATGAATTATTGATTTGTATTATGTCAGATACCAAGTCCTTAGCTTCTTTAGAATGCAAAGCCAATAGTCTTATTTGTAACAATTGTAATCTAACCTGACGCAATTGATCACAACAGACCTAAGATGCAGAGCTTGAAGTTCTCGAAGGATTCAAATGCAATTGATGTGATACCCAAGACGTTTGTTGTGATTTCCATAAAGAAAAATAGGTTTTTTCAATACTATTACGATAATCTAGAGAATTTATTTTTAATTATGCTTTAAAATGTTGTGCCCTCACAACTCTGTAGTTCAAGTTCAAATCAAGTTCTGTATTTGCTTTAATAGTAGTGCATATGTTGATATGTAACAACAGGCGTGTCTATGGACATAAGTTTTATTTTAATGGTCCAGTATACAATAAATGCTTATATAGAAGATACCCTTCTTCTAATAGAGCAATTACAGTATACAGAATAAACTAACTTTGAGTAACTTGCCTTGAAATATATCTGATATACTCGGCTCAGCACTAGGCTCTCCACTCCTAAATGAGACAACACACAGAAGATGGCAATAATTAATAACACTTAACAGATGACTGAACAGAGTTTGTGAAATACTGTTGAAAAAACATGACTGGAAACTGATTGTAATTGATGCAAGATCATGAAATACAATTTCACTCACAGAGCAGTAGCTTCCCCTTCTTGTTCCTCAGATGTTGCTGCGCCACTTGTTTCACTTATTGGCATTGTCTCAGTTTCTGCTGGGGCACTGCTTCTTTCTCCACTCTCTTGATTTTGAACATTTTCTGAACAGGGTAAAAACGCACAAACAAAGGCCATAAATATTGCAACATGTTTACAATACTTATCCATGAGTTTTACATTACAGCACTTGGCTAAATTTGTTGCATGTTTTGAAGCAAGTCTAGCCACTGAATTTTCTAAATTCTGTGAGTAAATTAACACCACCTAACTAGCAATATCTTATAGCAATATCTAATTGGCCGACACTGCAGCTGTGTTGCAGGCAATGTTGCCTCCAAATCTGAGAACAATCTACTAGTTTCCCGAAAACTACATTTATTACAATACAGCTGCACCACGTTCAATTAAAACTGTTCTATTGGAAAGAGTGTTTTGAGAGGCAAAACCAAACATTTTTGTTACTGCTTGTTTGACTTTGCACCAAATACCCATAATTTTTGCAATTTTTGGGTAAATATACCATACAGTTTTATGCTCTTCTAATAGAGTAGATGATGAAAAACAGGGTTAGCAAGGACAGATGTACTTCCCACTGAAACTTCCCATTCACACACACCAAAGCAAGCCATGATAAAACAATTTGAGAAGAGATGGAATTTTAGACTGGTCCTCCAAAATTTTTTTTTATACAAAGGGAACAGACACAGTGGATAGGCAGACATTTGTTTCAACATGGAAAAAACACTAACTTACAGGGGAAGTAGACATTCTTGAAATTTATTTGACTTAAAAAAAGGTCAGGCTTTTCATTAATAGAAGCAGCTTGTAGTATCAATCAGGCAGTCATTATCAAGTTATAATGAGAATCCAAATGAGAGTATCCAACAAGTACTTTATGTGCCCATTTTTATGATGCTTTAATCAAAATGAAAAGCCTGAAAGATAAATGCAAATAAATGCTCAAAAATTCAAGTATACCTTCTCCCTCAGCAAGTAATGATGCTATTGTGACTGCACCTGAACTGGTTGAAACTGTGGAGCCAGATGAGGTTGGCGTGCTTGCAGATGGAACAACACTACCCTCCAAACTTGGCATATTATCAGGAGATTCTTCAGGTGGGGTTACGACTGATCCTGCTGGTGGCGGCTGCTTATCTGCTTCGCTTTGAATGTCAATGTTCATTGGAATAGGTTCACTTTGACTGGCAGTTGGGGTAAATGTCATAACACCTTCTTGTGGGTATCTGGCTACAATACCAGGTGTAAGGTCAACAATGTTTACATCTTGGACAGTTTGCATTGCTGGAGTGACAGCAGCTGTTGGGTTGGTAAGTTCTTGTGCAGTATCCAGTGTACTATCACTAGCTGCTTGTTCTGATGCAAACAAGTCAGTAGCAAGAGTTGACCCTACAGAAGGCACACACCTGTAAATCAAGTAGACAAGAGATAAATACAGTATTAGCTGTATTTACAATGTAGAAATGTAATTAAGATTTAAACTAATCTATTTATGTTATATCGCCTGCTTAATTGCATTGATTTCAGTATGTCTGTGCAGCTTTCAGTAAGCAAGGTTTTTTAACTTAACACATTGTCAGCTGATGTAGATTTTGTACTTGTTTTTCTTGGCCATGAAACATAGCAAATGATTGTATTTTGACAAGAACTTTGACAGATGAGGCACTATGTATGCCATCTAATGTTTTTGTAATTAATGATTTCAATTCGGAAAATTCAACCAGTTCAAAATTTCAATGTAATTTTGTATTCTAAAAACTCAACTAAACTTTCCAAAACTCATTATTTAAAAGTGGTTGAAATTATAGTTTTTTTACAGTTGATCCAGAAGTGTTACGTCATAAATGTGAAAATAACAATAGCTAACAATGCCTGTCAGCTATGTCATACTGGTCATAATGAGAATATATATCCAAAACTAAGTTAATCAATAATCATCAAAATCCTATTAAAAACCATGGTTTGTGATAAGTACACATGTGAGTTTGAATTAAAAAGGATCAACTGTACAAGAAGGATTAATCTATCTCACCTCTGGAGTCTAGGTGCATCAGGGGTGATGTTTGGAATTGATACAATATCCGCTGGAGTACTTAAAACCTCTGCACTGCTAGCTGTTACCACTGATGATCTGGTGATAAGTGATGACTCCAAATCAGAAGCTGGAGTAGGAGTTCCAACTATACCAGTCACTGTTGTTGATGTTAGTGTTGAAGGGACAGATGATGTGCCAAGGTGGACTGCTGCTGCTGCAATGCTGGCAGCCATATTGCTGATAGCTTCTGAAAGCAATCACATTAGAATTAGCAATGAAATCCATGTTTTTAAAGTTAATCTTGTGCAATTTGGAACCTACTCCAAGTATCATAAGGTTAGTTTCCTAAAGTTTACTTTATAGTAATATTATTTACCATCCCTACCTTGTGTTCCCTCGGTTCTTGCAGATCCACTTTCTAGCATCTGTAATTGGAAATGCAAAATACCATTATATTGATGATAAAAACATCCATTCAAGTTGTTTCTTTTAAACCTCATGACATGGTTTCATTATACTATACATATACTATTGTGTAAAGTACACAATTTTATTTAAATATTTGCCAACCTAGTAATCAAATATTTGTATACCTCTACTGTGAATTTGTCAGCCTGGTTAAGTAACTCTTTTTCCCTTTTCTCTTTATCTTCCTGTTTTTTCTTCACATCTTCTTCATTTTCTTTCTTTCGTTTCTCCTTCCTCTCAGCTAACTCATCATCTCTGTGCTTTTCTAATATTGCCAAGATTGGAGGCTTTAAAACTAAACAAGACAACAGCATTGAAAATCATCAACAAACCTCAACAATCAAGCATTTTTCAGTTTCAGTTTAAACAAGCGACCTCGCAGTCGAAAGAGCTCCACTGTAATTGTTAACTGTGAGTTGGAAACATAGGGATGAGTGATGTTGATAAAAGTTTGACACCATAAAATAAACCTTGACCTCAACTTCAACATAGTTGTCTAATAGCAGCAAACATACAAATATTGAAATGACACTGACCTGAATTTCACCATTTTTTAAAAACATTAGCCCTGATAAACATTCATGCACATTCATTCAATGCAATCTGACAAGCAGCTGTTGAAAAAATCATTTTGACCAAAAATGACAAAAATATTGTATACAAATTTGGAATGATGTCATGAAATGAACAAATCTGACAGAAGACCACCCTAGGTAGCTGAGCTGTAAATAGCACGGTGATCTAGCTTAGGGTTTGGGAGAAGAAGACACTTGAAAACAAGTCATTGTTAATGACACAGTCCTCGTCCAAAATTTTTTGATTTGACATATCAATTTGATGCTGATGAAGTCATTGAGATTAGATTGAAACCATTGATAGGAGATGAATTCATAAAAAATTATGATTTAGTGCTTTTACACAAGAATTGGACATTAGGCAGTCATACTGATCCAAATTACAAAAATAATGTTCATGTTGATGTATCTATTGGTATACTGTCTTTGTACACAATTTAAACTGAAATGTTCATTGTATTCATGGGAAAGTACGCATGGGTATCAGAAAAAACACCAGTCAGCCATATTAGTTTGAATCACAGAAAAAATATGACATGCAACTATAACCCAATATGTATGATCATCATATCAACTTTGATCCAAATTGGCCTAGTCATCTCTGAGAAACAGCTCCGGACAAGTAAAAATGGCGATTTAGCGCTTTTACATGAAAATTGGGCGTCGGCCAGCCATATTGAATTGAATCACAAAAATAATGTTGCTCTTGGTATATTATCTTTGTACAAAATTTAAACAGAAGCGTTCATTGCATTCAAGATAAAGTAGCATGGGTACCATGAAAAACAAGATGGCCACCAGTCAGCCATATTTGTTCGAATCAAGAAAAAATATAAAATTTTTGAAAGTTCTCTTTGAGCTCGTCATAATAAAGCGGAGGGGTTGTCGCCAGCGTGTCCTTGAAACTTGA